CCAATTCCACGATGCTGAAAATTCTCTTGCGGGCAAATACGCGTCTCAGAGTCTATGAATTTTGCTAGCGAAAGTGTATTTGCTAAGTTGTGAGAGGCTCTTGATGTGTGCAAAATTAACGATTTTCCTTCTGCAAACAGCAGCACAGGTAGTTGTTGTTTGGCGAGGATATTAAATTAAAATGCCATATTTATGATGAACGCAGACGAAATGCAAATACCCTTCACTTACTCGTCATCTTGTCACAATTGTAGAGTGTGAAATGCAGTAATTGTCTGCCTAACAATCATTCAACGGAAAAGATGCTTTCTCGCGCCTCTTGAATATTTTGTCAATCGGTGTTTTCTCCTCGGCATCAATAAAACTGCAATGACTAGGAAAATTGATCGTGCAGCTAGAATTGATAGGTGACAGTCAATGACTCGCAGTGTTGAATACTTCTCCTTGATCTCTTAAGATACTGACCGATTTTCACTGTGGAGAATCTACTTTTGAGAGGAATCTGGGGAGAAACGGTATGGTCTCAATAAAATTATCATTTGAAGAACAGTTAATTCACGAATAAGAAATATTATTAAGATGATTCCGTTGACGCGGCGTGAATTACCGAGGGGCCAATATAGTGTTTGATGGCCAGTGTCAAGATGGATTTAATAAAAAAAAACTCTTGTACTGGGCGCATTCCTAAATAAAAGCCAACATGATTTCTCAAATAATTTGGAATCCTCTCTTAAATGCCTTCAGGTTAAGCCCCTTGATGCGATATTGGAACGCGAAGAAGATTTTCTCATATTGAACCCAGAGAGATGAGACAAGAATTATTCTTCATTGTGGTCAAAGCAGAAAAATCCACAGCGACCCAATGACCGAGAATTTTATGCGATTGCCTCAATAATTATTATGTTTTCTTCTTCACATTTCGAGGTTGAAATCTCTCTTTCAGTGGACACATGCAAATTGGTAGTGTGTCGACTCTTCTAAGGCAGTGTATTATTTTGAATATGAATCTCTCGCGCGAGAGTTGGTAATTAGCCTGCGAGACGAAGAAGGTTTTTGAGTGCTTGGAAATGCACGGTATTGTTTCTTCTGCTTGTCACTCGGCCCGATGCGATGCTGAAGAACAATCGTTGAACGCCTTTTCCGCACGGTATTTTGGGGTCAAGTTCTGATCGAAACGGTGAAGAAATGAAATTCTTTGGAGAATTTGCAACAATTGAGTCGCGAATTTTTCCAGTTCACAGAAGTCCTTCTCGAGTATTTCATTTAATTTGATACTGACTGCAAATCGAGTGGGGTTTTGTGGAAGTCTGAGAAAAAGACCAGCTCAAATGAGAAGAAAAAAAAAAACATTTTTCTCTACACAAAAGGAAGGAAATGTCTTCTATTGTGTAAAATCATTGGCTTCGATGCAAAATGCCGGCTAATTGTGCTGATTTTGTGTTTTAAGTTGCCTGTATTTTTCACCATTTCAACTCTCAATTTGACTGGTTGTTGTCTCTAAAGTGCAGAAAATGCATTTTGTGAGAAAATTGCAATTTTCATTAACAATGCTACGGTATTTCCCGCCTTCTTCTCTCCGTCCGACGCCGCGAGTTCAGCAGCTTTGATATGTAAAATCAGCATTGGAGTGTTTATTGTAATTAATGGTGCGACTTGTAATGGAACTTGAAGATTAATTGCTGTTAAAGATGCAAGAGACATAGCTAAACACTCACGAGACGGACACATTGAATTGATTTGAGGAAGAGTTTAGGAGAAATTACCTTATGAAATAGACATTGAAATAAGGAAATAATTTTCCTTGTGGATAATCACTCTATGTGTAATATTTTCAATGTTGATTCGTGAACGAAAAATCATGCAAATGCAAAACCGCATCTTCCAACGCAATTTGAGACAACTTCCACACAAGAAAACTACAGGAAATGGCAGGAAATTCTCTCCTTGCGGACTATTAACACATAAATTAGTGCGATATTGAGCGTGTTGGATGATAAATATTGAAATTATCAATAAATTCCACCTCTTCGGAAACTCCTCGGCAAAGTCATCAAATCCATATTGAAGTTGATTACTCAACCAACATCATTGCCTTTTAATCTTTCTCTCTCTCTCTCTCTCTCTCTCTCTCTTGCTGCCACATATTCTTAAGGCAAACACAAATAATCATGACTTTCTCTCAAAACTCTTCGCACAGCAGATCTAATGTGTAAAACAGCCGAAAGAAGTGTGCAATAAAACGGTGCGATGAATGAGTGGAATAAAAAGTCTGTGAGACTCTCTTCTAATTGTATTTTTCCGAACACTTTAGTGAATTTCCCGTGGAATTAGCATATTAAAAGTATCCATTTAATACTCTCTTTTACCTATTGGAAAATTAATTTGCATCTTTTAGGCCGAGACAAGACACGGCAGAGATGAGAGTTTCAAAACACAAGATATATGACTTGAGGTGTGCCTTTTCCCACGTGAAGTGGTCATAATTTTGGGCTGGAGTCCACATACACATGGTGTAAATATTAAGATGAACATGAACATAATATTGTGCATGGAGATTAAAGAAAAAAGTTCCTCTCCATAAATTCATGAGAAAAGTGTGGAAGTAACAATTTCTTTTGAATTCCTCGATAAAAGAGACATTTTGTTCTTCACATCTGAGTTGATTAGGGATGTTGAGGTGGAATCGTGCTTATTTTCGAGGTTCAACGTGTAATCTTATCTATTGTGTTTTCATCTCTGGTGAGTACAAACTTTACTGTTCTCAGTTGCGTGTGGAGCCACATTTGTGACATTTCTTTTCTTCCTCTTAATTGTAATATTACAATTGTAGGTACTTTTAAAATTTCTCGCATTCCCTCTTGTCTGGGTTTCTTGTCTCTTCTTCGACTTGCTCAAGAGAGAAAATGGAACGGAAAAATCACGGAAAAATGCATGACAATTTCCAATGTTTGCAAGATTGTGTGTTTGTGAAGTGAAAGAACGGGTGAAAAGGTATATTTTAATTATTTGCAATCCAATAATTACCTTCACAGCTAAATTGTTGTTTCAGCGAGAGAAACAATTGTACATGAGATTGAGAGAAAATTGCAGACCGGTCCAAGATTGTCGGTTAACCTGAATAGTTCTCTTTTTTCTACACCTCCTCGGCCATTGCTGAGTGAAAAACCATGCCCAAGATAGAAAATAGTTTCGATTTATATATCCAATTGCTCCAATTGTGGCGATGGTGAAGAGTTTTGCCTCGCGTGGGCAAGATTTTGGGCAGAAGTATTCAGCCATTGTTGATTGAATTCCCTTGAGTGAAATCACTTTGGATATCAGGTGAATTAGGCCTCGCTTTATCGACCAATTTGTTGGTGTTCACATGAAATGAAACATGGGCATTAATAGGCATAATAACCATGTTTAATATCCCCTGATCGCGAGGCAAGATTCAATTTATCGTGTTCTTTTTATTGGATGAAGAGAATAGAGAGAGGAGATTTTGTGGAAAATGCTCTTAAACGTTTGATTTAGAGGTTCATTTGAGTGTAAGCCTTTTTTATTGTATCCTATGTGTATTTTCGATTGAAGAAAAAAGAAGACAAACATTGACTGTGAATAAAATGTGAAAGTATGCGGAGAGCTCCTAAAAATTGCCATTAATTCAGCGACAGTGAGAAAAGGAGAAAGAGATTCTATCGAATTATAAATGGATTGCAAATATAAAATTGGATGAAAGTGTTTTATGTGAGATGCAGAAAAAAGAGGAGCTTCTCGTCGACTCTTTTCCCATTGCGGCCATTGAGGAAAGGTTCATTGGACGTGTGTAGGTCGACTGGGTCAGATTTTAAATTAAATTTTGGATTGATTTGATGTCATGGGAATGTTTACCTTCCTTCACATCACAAGTCTGCCGCAATTTAACGGCAAAAATAAGCCGAGGGGCAAACAAGTCTGAGAATTTCGGGTAGATTTCATCTGCCAGACTTCCAATTTTTTTTGTGCTGTATATGACAAATCATAAATTTATTCGTGATTATTAAAGTCAGCCACATTAATTAAGTTGGTCATTAAGCAATTTCGCAAAGAAACGGCGCTGAAAGACAATGTTGACTGATATAATTTACACTTTTCATCAGTTTGATTAAATGCTGTGATGATAAAACTGTCGAAAGGCGGCAGCGCAGCAAGAAAGGAAAATATTTGGGAAAAGATTTCGCAAATGGGAAGAAGACATGTTAAATATGTATGTGGAAGACTCGCGGTGAGACAAAAGAGCATTAAACCGGAAATGGTAATTTAAATCCACATGTATTCATCCTCTTTTTGTCTTCCACCTCTTTAGTTTCTAGCGTGGAGCTGTGTTGGAAGCTGAAGAAAAGACACACGAGTGAAAAAGAATCACAATAATATTTCACTTTTAATAGTCTGAAAAATTCTTTTTATCTCCGCTACTCTTTTTCTCGCATTCACTCCTATTCATTTCCATTGAGACGCGCGATTTTATTTTTTTTACCTCAACGCACTCACCAAACTGCTTAAAAGTTCAGTGGATTTTTATTAAAAAAAAAAGAGTCAATGAGTATCATTTTCTCAGGAGGTGGAGGAAGAAACGACGAAGAAAGAATTTTGTAATACAAATAACTTTTACTCGTCTTCTATGATGGGCATAGGAATATAAATGAAGACATTTTCACCTTTCTTCGTCTAATTCAGTCATGTTCCAGTCTCATATGATCTCCAGTGGATATAAATCACTGTTTGGTGTTAGTTTTTCTCACTTAAACGGCCGAAGAATGATGCTCTCACTCACTCACTGAAAGAAATCAAGCGCAGAAAAATGTGCGAAGATGAAATTAGAGGTGTAATCATTGGGAAATTATGTAAAAGAGATAATAAATTCAAACGAGGCAATTGCGCAAGTTGAGAAAATAACATCGTACGTAATTATAACATCCTTCCTGCTTTGCTCTTCTCACTACAGGTTACACAGAGCCTCTCATTGTCCAGCCATGATGATGACGGACTGCAGTAGCATCCAGGGCTCCACGAGTTCCAGTGACATCACTTCGAGTCGCGGAATTGCTCCCAGAATCCGCGTGATTCGCCTCACGAGGCCTCATGCGTGTGCACGCAATGGAACTCTCTTGGCCACGCCTGCGCATGCATCCTTCGGATTTGCTATTCGCGGCGGACGGGAGTTCGGGACGGGATTCTTCGTGTCACGCGTGGAGAAAGGCAGCGAAGCTGATCATCAAGGGCTCAGAGTATGATTGATCGTTTCTCTCACTGTTGGATTCATTGGGTAATCTTCGATGGTAATCTTGCAGGTCGGAGATCAAATAATACGAGCAAATGGTTATCACGTGGATGATGCAGTTCACCGGGAACTTTCGCAATTCATAAGCACTCAGGATCGCTTAACACTCAAAGTCAGAGGTAAGAAATATTTGGTGGTGAAAGGCGCACGTCTTGCGACGGGCGATTGGTAAAGGTTCTAGAAGAGATGCTGCCAGATTTGTTATAATAATTCTCATCGCATATCTGGAAGATTCACCTCTGCTGATGTCTCTTCACTGCTTTTGTGGCGAGTGTGTGCTTATTTCGCGCAGATTCTTTCGACAAATGCAATTATTTCCGGGTTCTTTATTCTTGTTCTTCACCCACGAAAAAAGACTCGAGTCTAACGGTCCACTGGCGGGCCATACCAGACATTGAACTCTTTTGATAGAGTCATCGGCCATAATCGCGACTGTATTTCTCCTCTCTCACTCTCTCGAGGAAGTTGGCTCGGGCGCAGAGCCTGAAACAATAACGAGATCGCAACATCTGGGGAAGATATTCTCACGGCATACCACTTATGCATATGAGAAAATAACCAGAAAGGACCGTCTTATCAAAGAGAGGGAGAGAGAATGTTTGGAATATGCACGTGCCTCAATTTATGTATATATGGTGTCTTTGTCTCTTTGCAATTCTGTGGGATTTTGTTGTTGTTGTTGTTGAGAGTGCTCTGAAAGTTAAGAGAGAAAGAGGAAGTATTTTATAAATAAAGATACAGGAAGCAATTATAGTGCGACACTCTCATCCGAAAAAGTTCACATCTCATACGATGACAATCTTCCATATCATTCAATTTGATTTACCCACTGGCAAAGACTCTGTTTTATGTGGGCTTATCGTGGCTTTTCATTTCCCTTTTCTCTCTGTCACACTATCACACATCTGTGGATGGGAAAATTATGCACTTTGTTGGTCAAAAGTTTCAATTTTACCATGCGGAGAAAGTGTTTTGTGGTGAGTGTAGTAAAATAAAAAATGAATTTACAGCATCATCTCTGTTGCAATTTAAATCACATCTCTCTCAATCGTGGGTTCGTCATTTTTCCCATGTGCATTTGAATGGGCGGTGATGCTCACATTAAATTCACTCCACACTGATGATTGCAAAAGAGTGTTTGACCCTCCCTTGAATTTACAATAGTACGCGCATATATCGGAAAGGCACACGCAAAAGAGAGAGAGAGAGAGAATTAATTTGGTAAAATTGTCACTCTGTGTGTGCAGAAAAGAATAAAACAATTGCATATAAATTCTGTAAAAGCACACCTCACAGTTGACCTTCATTCTTGAGCAACAGAAAGTACCTTTTAATTTAACAGCATTATCCGCACTGAAATATATCTTCTCCCCTCACTTCTGCAGCATTTCACAATGCTGCACCACATACAAAATACCTGTGCGTTTCTTTTATTGCTGATTTATGGGGGAATCATCGCTGAAATGAGTCAATGAGCCCATTCATCACTTTGGCAATGCGCGATTCTTTTATTTCACGCATGTTTCACTGGCTTTGCCCTCCAACGGTGACCAAATTTTTTCAGTGGCATTTTTCTCTATGACTTTAATCCCAAAACCATGCATATGTTTCTAATGCCTAATGAGAATTATTGCAGCGCGCGATGTGGCCCAAAAAGAGTAAGCTGGATGGCAAAATCCTCCTCTTCAATTGGCGCGTTTTCTCTGCACAAATTCTCATCCCACACGGTGACTCTGCGATGGCTGTGCGCGGAAAATGCCAGCGAGATGTACCCATGTGTGCAATATTTGTTGTGGTTTCGGGCCCCAAGTGAGGCTCCACGGTGACTGGTGGCGAGGAGCGTTTGTCGATGATGCAACTCTCTTGGGCAAATATCAGCCGGAGTTGCTGGATGTTGTGTGTACCTCGTATACACCATCCGTAATTAGAGCGTGCACTTTATTCGATGCCTTCGATGGTCAATGGGTTTCCATCGAGAGTTAAAGATAGACAACAAAAGAGGCATGGAATAATGAAAATTTCTGTTGAAATATTTACTAGTGTTTCATAAGTTAATGATTTTTGAGCAGCACGTACGATGTTTTGTCTGATTTGTCTATAGACAGTATTGGACCTTGTATGGACAAAATTTAAACACTTGCCTCTAGTATTTGTTTCAAATGTTTCAATACAAATTTCCGATATAAAATTTCATGAAATTTTCCAAAGTCTTAATTGACTGAGATTACAATTAAGCCTGTGGTGGCCCAATTAAATGCAAACCGTTCATTAAATACAATTACCAATGTAAGATTAAAGAAAAACAATTAATTCACATGTTTCCGTTTACTGCAGGTATCGGCATGATCCCGGTCAAAGAGTAAGTCAATCTATGAGATGAAGTACATTTCTCACAACTGACATCCTTTCCTTTTGCTTCCTCTTTCTCTGCAAACCAGAAGGGCCTGCGATCCGCTCAGTTGGCACATTGTGCCGCTCAAGGGAGCCCAGGTCTCGCCGACAGAACTGGATGACGCCGGAAGCAGAGATATTCGTGTGACACTCAATGTGGCGCCGAGGAGCAAACTCGGTCTGGGAATCTGCAAAGGGCCCGAATGGAAGCCGGGAATATTTGTGCAGTTCACAAAGGAGGTAATACATATAAATTGATATCTAAACAAAGTTAATGTTCAAACATTTGCGCACTTCCTTTCAGATTGGTGTAGCCAGAGATGCAGGTCTTCGTCCAGGAGATCAACTATTGAGCTGCAATGGAATGGATTTCGCAGACATTCTTTTCAGTGAAGCTGTGGCCATTATGAAGTCATCGAGTCGACTGGATTTGGTAATTCGCACAGCTGCTGGCCTGGATCTCTTCCCCGGAGAGTCGAGTGGATACAATAGTTCCGCCAGCAGTGTGACTGGTGGGGATCAGAGTCCTTGCTGGGGCGATCAGGCGTCCAAGAGGCTCAGCATGGTGCGCGAGGAGAATGGCCACCTCGACGTCTCCATGGGTGGCACGAGACGACCAAAAAGTTGGGAGAGAGGCAGTGAGATCGATCGCCGAATGGACAAACTGCATCCAGTCGCGCCGCCAAGAGTCCCCGAAGAGCACGACAAGAATGCCAAGAATTCCAACACCACAATCATAAAGCTCTCAGATTCGGGAACAGTCATTAACAACACAGTCATTCCTCACCTCAGTGCCGTTGAAGTGTCGTCTGGACGTCAAGCCACGAGAGTTCATGTCTCGCCTGAAGTGGGCGATGACACAGGCTTTGTGGATGACGAAGAGACTCCAGACAGGAGCAAGCTTGCGGACATTTGCTTCGTCTCGCGGCAAAGTGAAACCAAAACAGTCATTGTGGAGGTGCACAGAAGTCCTGGTGCTTCTGAGCCATCTAGCGGATCTATTCCACCTCCTCCGCCTTGCTTTCAAACGCCTGGACATGCGAGAACACCATCCATTGCCAGCACCTCGTCGGGATGCACATCCAGTCTGAGTAGTGCAATTAGCGATGAGCTCAAGAGAAGAGCAGTGGTGAGATATTGTTAGAACATACTGATGAAATTCATTATCTAAGAGATTCTTATTGTGCCATTGCAGCAACGCTTGAAGGAGAATTCTGGCGAGAGCATCGAAGCGAAGTGCGAGAAGATCCAGTCACAGACGAGGAAGATTGGTAACTCCCTCGGAGGTCACGACAACGACAGGCATAATGCTTTAATGAGTGAATTCAAGAGAGCTCACCGGAAAATGTTCAAAAACAGCGAAGAAAACGATTTGACTGAGAATGTGAGTATTTTGCCTACATTTCGGCGTTTTCCCTGCTGATTGAAATCGTGCCGAAAATTGACTCGAGATTGCATCAAGTTTAAATATGTTATTCCTAGTTTTTTACTACTTGCAAATGTGCACGGAATTCAATTGAACTCAACCTTCGCTTCTGCGGAGATTCGCGAGCTCTTGGGGGAATTGAGGAGGGGGAAAAGTGAGAAAATTTCACAAATCAACAATGCAATAATGCAATATTTTTGCGATTGAGAGAGTTGCTGAGCTTTTGTGAATGAATGTCTAGTTCAAACATGCACACCAATCGATTAATGCTCGATATACAGGTGAGAAAAGGGAGTTGAAATAGTGTTAATTGCTCAAAATTTTGACACGACTTCTTTTCCACGATTTGTCAGCATGAAAATCGAGGTGAAATCGTAAAAAGAAAATTGTGCCAAAAGTCATTAAGTTCTGCAGAAAAAGAAACCTTGTTGACAACCAATGAATTGTGAGGGAAAAAGGGTGATTTTTGTTCAATTCTGGGGAAAAATATTTCGTGTTTTGTTGTTATGCATTGACGTCAGGGGACGATAATTAATATTTCGTGATTAATTTCTGAATCTTGTGGAGTTTAAATTGAAATTGCGTGTTTTTTCTGTGCTTACGAAAAATTATAATTTCTGAAGAGATTCACAGAATACCAAATTTCATGTCTTCAACCAAAATTTTAACGATTATCATCCCCACAATTGACGTCATCCACTCGAATCTTATCAACCTAGTGAGACTGCCTTGATGGGCAATTTCTGTCTACCTATGTAAAGTCGTACTTGATTGGAGAGAAAAAAGAAAACACATATCGCGGTTAGATAATCAATTCGTGAGACGATTTGAGGTGGAGAATCAAATACAGATCGGAGATTCTGCTGCACTGCTGAGTTCGTCTCAGTCTTAAGAAGTATTTTTCCCTCCACTAACGCGAATCTTTTTCTGCTGGTGCGCTTTTTTACAACATTTCATTTCAACAATATAAATTAACATTGGACTGGGTGATTTGTGTGCTGTGAGTCCGTGTGCGCTTTTCAGTTTAGTCTCATGTGAATACACATCGAGAGTGGACGTGTTGTTTTTTTTCTCGCAGTTTTTTCGGTTTTGGCTTCCAGTGAATTCGGCCAAAGAATCCGCCTAGACAGACAGTGTGTGACGTGAAATTAGCAGGAGGAATAGGTTTGGCGAAATTACATGCGCTGCACCTCGAAGAAGACTGTGTAACAATGGCAATTGGAAAGGAACAGCTAAATGGATTCTATACGGCATATTTTCTATTTCACTGATTTACAGTGCTCGAAACTCTTCTCTCACTCGGCATTTTTACTCTTTCCATTATAACCATTAAAATTGTTGTGTGATTATTTCGATATTTGCTGAACAGAAGAGGGCAAGACAGGCACAGTTTGAAAGTTATATGACTTTTTTCATTTTATTGCACAAAAAATAATAAATTGATGGTTGTAGGAGTTGGCAAAGGGAAGAAGAGGGAGAAGAGCTGTGAAATCAAAAAGTGTGACGCTTCTTGCGCGGTGCTTAACTCAGCAAAAAGAACCGAAAGGCTCTTTTCTTTTTTATCAGCGCACACACAGTAATTTTCAATCAATTTAATTGCAAGTTCTTGTTGCGCTCATATTTCTTCTTCCTGACTTACGGTGTGTCCGCTAATTGGGGAAGAACAGGAAGAGTTGGGCTTGTGAAAGAAGTCTTGCTGGAGGATTGTTTTCACTTCTCTATTTCTCCATTGCTTAATTTAACGTTATGTATATTGTGAGATATGCCCAATTAATGTGGACCTTATTGTGTCTTATGGAAAATAATTCAATTGAATTCAGAGTGTAAAAATGTATATTTTCGTGTGTTAACAAGTGTTTCTTTCTCCCCTTGTTGATTGTCTGCGGTGGCATGACTTTTCGATCGCAATCTTGACACTGTGAACTTTTTTTTCGTGGAAAAGACACACAAAAATTTACGGCAACAAAAGTGGCCAGAAATTAATGGTTAAGTTCGTTGGGAACACAAGCAGATCACCATTCACACAATGAAGCAGACAAAAGTGAAACCCCTCGTGACAATTTCCACCTATGAGGTAATTTTCTCTCTTATCTTTCACAACTATTGTGGCTGTTGAAGATTCGCTGTGAAGAAATGCACTTCTTCCCGCCCTCGTGATCTGCGCGCAGTGCAATTTGAAATGATAATTCTCCTCTGGAGCGCGATTCTTCGCACGCTGGAGAGTTAAATAGAACAGGGGGAAATTGCTAGTGGCAATAAAGGCACGTGTGAAAATTATGGGTACTCTTCACAACGTGTTTTGACGCCTCTCTAAAGGGGCTCATAAAATAAAGTCATCAGTGTGAACAATATACTTTGTGTAAAACTTGAGCTGTTTAATTTGGAGCACAATTCAACAATTAATTCAAATGATGTCATAATTTTTTTTTATGATTTGTCCTCAGTGTTTTTGAATAAAGAAAGTTCATTTACTTCTGAATTTGCAAGTTTATTGTTTATCTAAATTACAGCGATAACAAATTGTTTTAAAAAATTTGCATTATATTGCGATTTTAGCAAAAAAAAAGAAGCTTTTTATGTCAAGATTTAGCTGTCATTCATTAATTAAACTTTCGTTACGATTGTTGAAAAAGCAAAAAATTGTAAAAGAAATATTCAGTAACAAACACACACGCTTCCTATGAGAGTGTGTCTGAATTTGTGTTGGTTTTCTTTTAATACCCTTCACGGTTTGAAAAAGGCAACCATTTCACAAACAAATCTCCCAAGACAAACTGCCAAGGAAGGATGACCAACGATTTCATGAGAATTAAGAAGTCTCATTGAGAGAATATTTTAGTGGACAATTTGTCACGTAAAAAAAGCAACATGCAAATGTATAAAAATTCGACATACGAAGAATGAATTATTAGCAACAATTAGAGAGTTGATTTGTGGAATTTATCACGCGAAGAAATCTCAAGGGTGTTGCAGTACAGAAAGCAAAAAGTGCTATGTATGGATTAGAATCTTTCCACATGGAAGAATTTATGTTAATTTCATTCATTTTGTATCATCACAGTATTGATTTTATTTTAATAATTCCTTTTGTCGGTCATCAGGAGAGACATTGTCAGGCGAATGAAGCGAAGGAAGTGAAGGAGACTGAGCGCAGCAATGGCATTCCTGTGCCTCTGGCCAAGGATCCACCGCAGGCTCCGGCTAAACATCCGCTCGTCAAAGTGAATTCTTCACCGAGAATCAAGCCTACGACCGCTCCACCTCCGCCTCCGGTGAGTTCAGCAGTGCTGCTAATTAAATAATGACAAGAATTAAGGAATGAATCTAAGCGGCTCACATTCGATAGAATTTGGTAATCAATGTATTGTTTGGTATTGTGTTTGTATTCTATCTCAGAGTCTCAACAGTTTTTATTTCACTTTGAGCAACTGTGAATTGCCAGCGAAAGTGTGAAAAATTTTCAATGGGATCTCCTATAAAAATATTTCCCGAGTGTTGATTTTCCTTTCATTTAATATGACTAAAAGCGCTAATTTCCGCAAAAAGATGTGAACTTGAAAGCGGCAAAATGTTTGTTTGTTTGTTTTTGCAAGAGTGCCATTTCCTCTTGAAATAGTTATTTAATTACGGCAAATAACTGTGAGTAATTATCTTCCTGCAGCTCCCTTTTGCCGATGGCGCCAAGAACATCGCCGAGTGTCGTCCGCCGGCGTCGCCCAGTCCAGATTACGAGGACGAGAGTCCTGTGCGGAACCACACTGCCAATGGGGGCTCCGTGAGGGGTACGTTGGGCCGTGTAGCGGCATGCGAGATGGCTAAGGCGAATGGCGATATGGCTGAGCTGGAGTCCATTGAGTCGTTCAAGCTCACGAATCCATCCTCGCCGCCTCCAAGGCCGCCGTCCGTGTACTTTGCGCCGCAGAATTCGGGTCCTCCGACGATGAAGAGGAACCACCGTCCAGTGTCTGTGACCATTGGCGAGTACGGGCAGATGGTGCGCAAGGAGCCGGCCAAATTCAACTTCATTGCGCGTCCCGATGAGAATTCTCGCAATGGAGGCGACGAAGACATGTCGCAGCGACTGAGAAACGAGCTGGAGATGACACTGTCGCGATCGAATCTGAAGAAGCGATCCGATCACGAGCTGGTAAGTCGATTTTGACATGTTTTGCCAATTAAATTTCTGTGATAAGAGCACAATAAGAACGCGTAGAAAATGGTCAGGTGTGTGAACTTGAAAAATTCTCGCTCCAATTTGTCCCTCCCGAGCATTGTATTTAAATGTGTGCTTCTTTTTTATTTGAACCATCAAGTATAAGTGATTTAAATAGCTGCATAATACCTAAACAATGATTGATGTTAAGTAGTGTTAAATTACGATCATATCAAATTGAATTTATAAAATTCACACCGTCTAATTAACAATTGATTCATTCTTCCGTGAAAATTCGTCCCATTTTTTCTCAATTCTGCACACGAGCAATTAACTTCAACTGTACCACTGATTTCTATACCTAATAATTACTTTTGAATCACTTTCCACGCCATTTTCACCTTTTCTTGCACTCAGTGTGTGGCATTACACTATTGTGTAAAACAAATTGATGTTTTTCATCAATTATGTAAAGAAAAACGAGAGAAAGAAAAACACTCCATTTCTATTATCACTTGGTGTTTTTTTTCAAGTTAAGTGTTTGCTTGAGAATTAACATTTCCTTATCAATAGCGGAGTCATTATTGCGCTTTTTCATGCGGAATTACCTATATTTCACAGGAAAATGGGGGTGTCAATGGAATGACAACGACTGTTACGGTGAATGGAGACAAGAAAGATGGATCTTGTGTGGAGAATGGCAAGGCGTTGCTGCAGAAGAGCAATTCGACGAATATTGAGAAGAGCAATGGGATGGCAAATCGCGTGATGATCACCATTCCTAGCAAACCAGAGCTGAGGAAGACCGAGAGCAGTCCGCCCAGTGGCATTCTGAAGAACGGTGGGTCCGCAATGGCATTCACAAATGGCGGTGCTGAGCACAAAAACATCTCCTTTGGGAATATGTAGGTGTATAAATTTATTTCCACCACTTTCCTCTGACACTCACTGGTATCCCTTCTTGTCATTCCCCAGAACTACAGTCATTGCCAGAGACTCGTGATTCCCAAGGAAAGCGATCCTGGGCGATTGAAGAGCACGAGTGAAAGGTGAAAATATATTGGGAGCATTGGGAGTGTATTTGCAATTGATTGTGCACTCAAGCGATTGGAGTCAACAACCAGTTAATGTCTCAGTGCCGCATGAATGGCTCCCTGACGACTGGCGTAAACTAAAAATCACCTCTATTTTCTTGTCTTCTGCGCGTGTTACTCTTTCAAATAAGCCCGCGAGAATCCACTCTTCTAGGGATTACTTAACATTACTCTGTACTTTTTGTATATTAATTCCTCCCTGAGTAATTATATTTAAGTCGCTTCGTTGTAAATGTACGTTCCCTCACATTTTGATGTATTGCGCCTATTAAATGTATACTTTAACTTGAAACATATTGAGTTTGAATTGCCGTTGCTCTCGAGCATGGATGAAGCACGACTGAAACATCAGTGAAACAGTATGACTTGGTGGCCATTCTGGAAATACTGGCATTTATTCCAGAAGAGAACTCACGAAAGTTTGTCAGAAAATAATTTAAACGATCACACTAGGACTTTAAGAAGAATCACAGGAAAACAACATGATTTTTCAATAACTTTATATATTTTCCTTATTTCAGCATTTTGAATATTTCATATCTTTTCTCCTCTTGTCAATTTTTTTTTCAATTGTTACATACAATATATAATTTTTCATTTTTCTTCTACAACAATACAAAAATATTTTCAAGAATATAATTTTCCAACATTTCGTTTTTCATCATTTCTCAATTGCATTATTCTTATTCTCTTGAAGAGAAATGTGTATCCTGTTTCATTTTGCATTCACATAGAATCCTATTTACATAAATTAGTTTTTATTTTTGCGATACTTCATTATTCTGTCAAAATTTCTGCATTCTTTCTTCTGAGAAATGCCACGGAAAATGTCCAAGTTTTCTCATCTTTTCCTAAATATAAAAAATTACATTTCACATAAATTTTTTTCATTTTCTGTGTGTGGTTTTTTCTTTCTTTTAAATAATATTATATCACAAATATTTACACATCTATTCTTTTTTCCATTCGTATTTTTCCCATATTCTCCTTCGACACATTTTTGTATGATAATTTTTTTTCCTTCAGATTTCTTTTCAATATTTCTATATTGTGTACTATACACTTAGAAATTTATTATCCTATTTCTTCATTCTCATTTTGAAATGATCATTACAGCAGACGGAGCCAATAAAGTTTCTTTGTATTGTATTTTCCTTACATTTTATATACATTTTATTATTTAATTATTTTGCACATATTTTCTTCTCATCGTCTCTCATAAAGAAACATCAATCGTAAATGGATATTATTTTATTTCACTCATATCAAAACTTTTCATCCTCAAATTTCTACATTTGTCTTTAGAGAATAATCAGCATGATAGGAAAGTATTGCAAAAATATGTAATAAACAGATGGGATAGAAATGAAGAAATGAATCTCTTTAAATAAGTTCTAATAAAAAAGGCACAATTATTTTGTATTTTTCCTCTTCTCATCATTCCGTTGTAAAACTTCCTGCGCATTTTTTCCTTATAATATCATCTTTCCACGAAAAGAGAGAAAATTAAACAATTACTTTGCACTCCAGTAAATATTGTATATAAAAAGGAATTTAAAAGGATCCTATACAATTCTACTCTTTCTTGCATCTTTGTTTCTCTTTTTTTCCTCACGCAGAGAGAAACTCTGTGCGCAGATGAATAAACTGGCTCTCAGAAATAAAAAAAAAAACATTACAAATATAAATGAGATCGATATTTTCATTCAATAATTTATACAAAATAATAAACATTAAGTGTTCTTTTTGTATTCCTTCTCGTGTCCACGTAATATTTTCTCTGTTCTTCATTTTACTTGTGAATCTTTTTTAAAACTTTGCAACTTGAGGTAGTTTTCTCACGTTTCATGTGATAAAATTATTTATACTCCTCATTTTTTCCATTATTATTTAATCCTATTGTGAAATTTCTTACAATATTTCCTCAGCATATTGACGTTTACTTTTCTTTCAAACTCTACACAACCTTCTATGGAGGTCAGTAAACTGAATTATTATCTATTGTGTTTATATTCTTTCTCAAATATTTCATATCCATGTAGTTCTACTATTTCTTCTCTCTTATCTTTAGTTGACACAGTGGAGAAAGATTAAGGGATTTTCCAACAACCTCTCTATAAAATTCAACTAACTCCACACACAGAGTGGATCGTTTGATGCCCATGCAATCCCCAAACATTGAGAAAGTCAAAGCACTTCCAAGACTCAAGGGAAATCCCCAATCCTTCTCCAAGATTTCATCGGAAACGCGTGACAATTTGATCAATAAACATTATAATGACCTTTCCTTACCTTGTCCCGCTCAAAACCTCCCGTGAGAAGATCTTCAATGACTAGCAAGTTTGTGTGGTGGTGGATAAGCGCCGCCGGCGAACGTGTTCTCCTCCTCGTGCATGTTATCCGGCGCTGACCAGCGCCTCTTCTTCGACTCCTGTTGCATGGCATCATCGGGGCGCGGCGGGATCATCTCGTGGGGATTGTAGTATGTGTGGTGCAGTGGATGGAAGTGCTGCTGATAGCGCCTCTGGTCGTCATTGATGCTCATCACAATACTTTGAATACTATGATTTATGGTCGTGGATGCACTCTGAGGCGGTGGATTCTCCATTTGGCCGATGCCACTTGTACTTCTATACTTTGGATGGTACGTCACCCCCTCGATCTGCTGGATGGCCTTCCGAGACAGATTCTGCGGCTGTTGCTGCACAGGCGGCGACGCCAGCGGTGGCTCTCGCGAGCCCGCGTCAGGGACCGTCACAGACATTGGCTCCGCACCGCCGGGCTGAGGATCCTTCTGTCGTAGGGAAATGCACACGTCGCCCACGTGCAGTGGGTGACACTTGAGGCCATGCACACGCAGGGTGCCTTCTGGATTGCACGACGCCCAGCCCTGCCGGTAGACGAAGAACGGATGCTCCGGATAGACGCTCAAGTGAACCTAACAAGCAACACAAAATGACAGGGTTAGGCCAAGAATTATTATAGATTAATCACTCATCTCACCTTTGATTTGTGCTTCACACAGTGCAGAGTCACGACCACGTCACTTCCGCCAGGAGAAATCTTCAGCACAGTGGAATCGACTAATTCCAATCCGGGAGTCTTTGCTGACGAAGTCAGGAAATCCTCCGTTCGCATGTCCTCGACGCGACGCATCTCGCCGTTGCCCAAATCAATGAGGACCCCTTTGCTAAAGTTGGGTTTCACAGTCGTGGTGCTGCTGTAAAAAGGACATATCGTCTTAAAACCTCTAAAGAATAGCTTTTTAATGGTTAAAGAAAACCTCTTTTTTGAGATTTTTGCTAATATCAAAACCTTATCAACTCATTTCTCAGCTCGTTGCGTGACTTTTGTGTATAAATGGCAGTATTTGCTCATTCTTTCACTCGTCTGAGTTGGCATAAAAAACGCAGGTCGCGATAAGCTAAACCTTTAGAAGCTGGAAAGACCGTTCTCACCTCACGACAGTCGATGGGATGGTTCTGCTGGGGGATTTCCTCTTGGTGGACTCGCGCTCGCTGTAGGGCCTGGTGAGGATTCTGTGCTTCAGCGAACCCTCCTTGCCCGATGGCACTTTGAAGCTCACGCTGTTCTTCGTCTCCTTGGGTGGGCAGAACGCGTTGGATGCCGCGGTGGTCTTCTTCAGTATGGACGCGCCGGCAGGCGTCTCGGCGGGCGGTGGCTGGAGGCTCGCCGGCGCCGGCGAGTATGGCACAGCCGAGAGGAAGGGCGCCGCGGAGTGGTAGTCCAGCTGTGGGGCAATGTAGGTGCCGTGGGCGCGACTAGGCGGTGGCGGCGCAAGTGAGTGGAGCGGATAGAGGCCTGAACGCCCATAGAGCCCAGCCGTGGGGCGCCCATAGAGACCTGAGTAATTGAGGGGCTGGGAGAATGTAGAGGCGGCATCGTAGAGCAGCGGCGGCTGCTGCGTCACGGCCGGCAGTGTATCCATCTTCGGCGAGTGAGGACTCGAGGCGGCACTGCCCGATCCCACGGCCAGGTTCACAGGTCCCGTCTGTTCGATGTACTTGGAGCGCGGCGATGTCGCCAAGGTGCTCCGAGACGACAAACTGCTGCCGTTGTATCTGTAAAAAGCATCACAGTATAAACGTCAATTGCAGCCCAACAAAAATTTTCTGTATTCGTGGAAGAGACAAAAATCCTCCCATTGATCCAACGCAAGGAAGCAAAACACCCACATAGATTTCTAATTGGCACTCCAATTAAATCCTTTAATAGTCTTGTATTAAAATTCATTAAAGCTCAGCTGAGCTTTCAGCATAAAATTTCCCCTTTTTGCGCGAACACACGCGTCACAATTTGGATCTCAAAACTTCCTTTGAGCATTTCACAGAAATGAGCATTCATTAATCCTACACAATTAGAGTTTGTTACGTCAAAGCTTTTGATTTTCCTTTACACTGAATACCTTTTCCACTTCTTCCACGAATCATCATCAGCCAGCTCAGTTCATTGTGCAGGGATGTTGCTTACCTTGCTTTGGGCTGCGGCCTGGCAAACTCCGCCGCCGACATGTTAGTCGGGGCGGTGTTGAGGGGCGGAAATGATGAGATCGGATGGCAATTGGGCACGAGAGCCGTGACCGTGGGACCCACGAACGGATGGTACGCCCGACTGGGCCCCAGGTGACTCTCTACGGCTGATAACATCGGCCGTCTGTCCAAGTCCTCCTCAGCGACCACGGTCGCACGTCCTCCACCAGCCACACTTTCCCGATGATGCCTGATGGTGCTGGTATTTGTGGCAGTGACACTGGCGAATGCACACGCATTCGTGACACACTCTCTTGCCTTGACTCCTTCGGTACGCGACGACTTCTCATTCAATTCACAGCCTCACTTGGGAGACGATGGAGACAGCCTTTTGGGATGGCGCAGAGTGACTCCTCTTGTCAGGATCTGTAAGTGAATAAAGCAGAAAGAGAAAAGGAAAGTGAGACTCAAATGAGTTAATGGAGTCATTTTCATCGATTAAATATTCAAAATAGAATTTTTCTTCGATAAACACGAGAAATACTTTTCCCTCCCCGGCTTTTCTCTCATTTTCCAGCCACTCTCAAGGTCAAGGTGACAATGACTCACACATACACGCACACACGTAGACCCAGAGGCAACACAGAAATCGAGGAAATTCACGCAAAAGCCAATCTAAAGCCATCGAAGTTGGTCTCGTGACCGAAAATTTACACAAACATCAACTGATATCGTCTCCTCCTCTGTTTCTCTCCCGCTCCCCTCACTCTATATGGAACAATCCACTTTGAACGAGTGTTTTCCCACAAAACATAAGACACCGTGACCAGCCGCAGATATTCGGAAATCCCAGCGTGTCGACCGAAAGAACTTTTCCACAGGCGACAATGGTGAACTGCGAAGGAGAAAAGGGCAGCATTTTGGCTCTGGTTACGATAACTGCCATCCAAGTATTCCAATTAAATAATACAGTAGAGATATTTTATCACACACACATATATGGTATAAAGGAGGAAAATCAATTTCTATTTCACCCTCATCGCCAAAGGAAAGCGCCTCAGGAGAAAATAACTGAAAATTTCCCCCAATTTCATTGATTTCTCACACGAGCCAAAAAAATGGTATTACGGATAAAAATATCACTCGAGAGATGTAATTAAGTGAAAGTACAGCACTTTAATCGATAACTTTCAACCCTCACCTTGAAAAGTTCACACTCAAGACTCGGGGCAGAATTGCCACACTATCTTAGAGGGGAGAGATTAGTGAGATGAAAAGCTACTACAGACTCGCGCGTCTTTCATTCATTGTTTGTAGAATTGTGGAATATTTCACACTGATCCCACCCACTTGATAACAGATAAGCGAACACACTTGTGCATGATCAACAACTCAACCTTGAGTGTGCGAGTCTTGCAAAAGTCAAGAAGATTTTTCAAGATCAATCATGCTCACCGTGACGTCAATCCACTTCGAGTGTGAAAAAAAACACACAACATCAATCTTTATCTAATCAAGCGAATTCAACACAAGATGACAATCAACTCTGCCACTCATTCAGAGCACCTTCAATAATTCCACACTGGGATTGTGCAGGAAAAAATAGGTGTTTGTTGTGTGGCTGGCTTTTTTTGCGCCAACACACCCACCACACGGCCTTATACAATTCGCAATTTACAGCTGATAAGATTTCGCTGCTTAATTAAATGAAAACACCACATAAATTTACTTTTGAAGTATCACACACGAGTGAAGAGAATTTGAGGAGAAAAGTGGGTGTATTATAATCACACATTCCATCATCATTCATTATCAAACATAAGCACACAAAATACAATTCTCGTTTTTTATCTGCAAAAACATTGGCACAAAGCTCAGCTGTTGTCAAGACGCATGGCTGAAAATTTTGCTGTGGTTGTGACTAAGTGCCTCTCAAAAATCTCCTATAGATCACTCATTTCCACGCAATCAAAAAAAAGCACCAGTTGTGTTTAGCCTACGTGGAACTGAACTTTAGGAGGCAAATTAAGAAGTAAACTCAAAGTGTCACATTGTTTTTTTCTCGATAGATTCTAAAGGGGGAAAAAGAAAAAGCCGATATATAAAAATTCAGAACTCAGATGTGGAATCTCAGCACCTTAATAGATTGCTGTTATCCAAAATATCTCAATCACGCCACCGCAGCATTCATCAGAGGAGCATGGAAGACGCGATAAGGACACTCCTCAGCACACGGCTTCTTGTGGATTTTCCCGAGAAACAAAAAATTGTCTGCTCCGATAAGGGGTTTCAGAAGTGATCAAAGATTACAATTGAAGCTCTTACTCGTATTTTCAGTCACACATGGCATGATTTGCACAGGGGCGTGCGAAAGGTGTGTGTTAGAGAAGAAATGCTGTGTGGTAGGAAAAAATCTATTTTAGAAAATCATTTGTGTGGTGACGCGCGCTCAGTGTGGGATCGTTTTAGAGAGGAAAAGCATTCAAAAAAGAGTCCACAGCACGTACACCACATTTACTATCGGTTCAGACATATAGCTTCTCCTCGCGCTTTTTCCCGCTGCCACTAACTTCCTCTTTCTCACACTCTATTGCACACCACTGAGTCCGAAAAGGAGAGACACAGTGAGCGAGATGGAAAATTCATTGATAGAATGAGGTGTGTGCTGTGAAGTCGCGTATCAACACCACAGAAACACCCACTTGAAATGTACACCAGCGCGAGTGAGACGATATAAACTAGCTCTGAACTCATCAGCAATGCTTTTAAATAAAATCCATTCCGTCAACTAAACACACATCAATTGGCCCCAGAGGAATGGGAAAAAAGCAACCGAGAGGCAACAATAAATTTTCACTATCGCGGATAAAGATGAAAACACACATCTTGTTATGTGAAATATTTTCTGTAAATATTTGCTTGAAAGCTTCGCGTGCAGTGGAGGCGCCCGGTGGTCACGATCTCACTCTCATTCGCCACTCGAGACGTTGTTTTCCTTCTCACAATGAAAAATCATGTGTTCCACACCGCGATAAATTGCGTGAAAATTGACATGAAGACAGATGTGCTATTTATCTGGCCATTTCTCTCACCCTGGGGAACAAATCACTAAAACACCCACTACGCCAAAAGATGGAGAGTTCTCTCGCATAAGCAAGTCGCCTCTAAACAACATTCACACCCCACAGCGCACAGAGAAAAGAAGCACGGAAAACCCGTCCGATGGAGAATAATGGGGAGGAATGTGGGAGAGAGAGACAAAATTAGACACTCTTATTTCACATGTCAGAAAAAAGAAAAAAAAGTAAAACAAACACGAAAAAGAAACAACCAGCACACTCTCATGTAAATTCTTATGAATGTCAAGTTTGCAGCAATGTGTGAGTTCGTCTTTCTATGAATGGAGAGCATTTTGTTGGGAAATACGACCCCCTTTTCCACCGCTGTCGCACACAAGCGCAAAGTATGGATTTCCACCATGAATACACACTACGGTATCCCCGCAAAGAACCACAATTCACTTACATATATTGCGTCACCATCACCCACAATTGCCGTAAGGATAAAGAAATCACTGCATTATCCAGTGCATCGCCTTTTGAGTAATGATCTTTTATAACCAAGGCAGTAGTGATTATAAACTTCATTGGAAATCATATTCTTGATCACCTTCTTGTGATGAATGACAATTTCATGCCGAAAATATGCAGCTAACACAATCATCATCTAAAAAATTCAATCTTTACGACACTCGTCTGGTTAACCATCAACTGAGAAAATCCATAGGGTTGAAACGAGTGTCGATGGAAATACTACAGTCATGTGGCCTTGTGTATGAAAACACTTTTCCATTTTCAGCTGTTTTGCTGTATTTGTATCCTGTGCAATGCTGAGGGGTGATGAAAGTTTTGCGCACATCGTATTTCTAGGGAGAGAGACACGCCGGGGAGTATTTGCGAACATGGTTAAGCGCAAAATGTGTGTGAAATCAATAACCACAGTTCCTACAATTTCACCCAACCTGACACGGGCAGAAAACTTTGTATACCAAAACTTGATCTCCCTGTCTAGAATTTCCTGAGAATAAAGTGAGAGGGCGAAAAAAGGGGATGAATATATCTTGGAAAACTCGCGCATACACCTTCATTGATTTACTCAACAGATTGGGATTTTCATCCAGAGCCACTGAATGAGAGACACAAACCGGGAGAAACTAACACATGTGCAAGCACACGCAGAGTGCGGATGACACTGGGCGAATTTATTCATCTCTATTCGACGCCCTATTCTGTCTCTCTTCGCTATAAACACCCACGTAAGTTCTCCGTCGTGCCCTTGAGATTGCAAAAAATCAATATTTGCCAAAATCATGACGACACCCCGCATACACTCTGCCGATAAATTTGTATTAAATCACAGCACAGCTGTACTTCAAATGGCACATTAGCTCAGACTGTAGGAAAAATTGCCACCCTTTCTACATCTTGTCACCCACCACGCGCAGTCTTTTCACTCTCCGTTCAAGTATAGGTGAAAGAACGAGTGGAAAAAAGAGGAAAATAACCCGGGCAAATTGTTACGTCAAGCCATCAATTGTTGGCGGCCTGAATGGTGTATGAGGCAAATACGAGAATCGGTAATATTGAACAAATACCGAGGGTGGACGTGAGACTACAGGGTTGAGATATGGAATGTCATACAGAAATAGAGGCAACATAGAATTTACTATTGTTTCCTTCAACCTTGAACAGTGTCATTTGTGCGCACGATGGAGATGCCTCGTATATATTTTGCTACTTTCGCTATTTTTAGTCAACACTAATGGATATTTTTGCATGAATTTATTGTAGAGAGATGAAAGAATCATCTTCGAGTACTATTTTCACCCAAAAAACCTACTCCCAGTGGAGGTGCCTTGTGATTGGGTTCTTTACCAAAGAAATCGTGGAATTTTGACCAATATAAATTTAATAACTCATAAAGCAATGGGCTTTTTATTGGATTACTGAGGCACCCTTCGGAAAAATATGCCAAAGAGCTCTCTAAATTAAAATACCATCCCTAGGAAAATTCCCAAAGATGAGTACATGTATTGTCGACTTGGGAAAAAGCACAATAAATTATATTATACTCTATCTACATAGTATTTCATCTCTCCCCTCTCTCTCTATCTATTGTGGAACAATATATAACACCATTTGCTATCTGATAACAACAGGATCTTGTGGTATCTCGTATGTAATTCAAGAAGTGCCAATTTCATTTCGTGGAAAGAAAGAAGATCGTTTTTCGTCATTTTCTCAAGGCGACGTAATTCCTCGTGCAAAAAAGGTATTTATAATAAAAGATATCAAGTAAAATATTTTGCCGAAATGAATTCTAATCAGTTGTGATGAAATTTCAGAGGTAGAAAAGTACAACAATAT